ATTAAAAAAAAAAAAAAAAAAAGATTCTTCAAAGCTTTTAAGCAAATTGATTTACTCTGGCTTGAAAATTCTCATATTCCCCAAATTTTTATTAGTCGGTGTCATCCTCGTGTTCATCCATGTAACATTAAGTGCTAGAAGGATTTTACGGATGGCGCGTATTACCGTTTTAAAAACTGCTACATTAGACTTTAATGTTAAAATACTGATGAGGCGGGTGAAAATTACTATTAGTTATACCTAATACGTTGCCATTTGGGGTTTTTTTGGAGTGGGAAGGAAAACCGAAGCGGTGAGCCGGCTCGGTTACCTGCAGTTTTCTCCGTGCTGTTCTGCACAAGCGCAACCGACAAGAAACCAGTCTGTTGATAATTCCCACTGCCGGCTCGGTCCCGATGCCTGGCAATCCCCTGCCCTTCCGCACCTTCCTAATTACACGCCGAACAGCGTTCCTTCATTTTACGCTGCGATGAGATCTATCTTCCTGTTAAAAGAGTTGTCTGAGGAGCAGCCAGGAGACCAGCGCACCCCCCCGGCTCGCCGGCCTCCCGGCCCCGGGGTGGACGTGGAGGGGGCTGGCTCGTTTGCCCAGTTTGTGCTTCCATTTTGCTGCTTGGTTTTAGCAGTGCTTTGGGAGGAGGGAAGCTGCCCGTCAAAATGCAGTGCAGCCTGACCTTACCGTTAAGAGGCTTTTCTTGATGTCTAACCTGAATTTTCTCTCCAGCAACCTTAGTAAACTATGCGCTTTTCTATTTGTTTTAGTCATCGTGAACATGCAGAACAGACCTTTACCCTCCTCTTTAAAGACTGTTGTCTTGTTTTCCTTCAGTTTTCCCTTTCCAGACAGAACACCACCAATTACTAGTCTCTTCTCAAATCAAAATAGCTTCCCCAGGGAGATATATTTTTGCGCCAGTGCAACGACTGTCTTTATTGCAGCAGAATGAGCTCATTGACCAGCGGCCCTCTGGTAGACCACTGTGACCTTCAGGTCCTTTTCTGCAGAATTCTTCTCTAACTCGCCGTTCCCTGTTTGCATAGTTTGTTTTTCCTGCAGTCGTGGAGAAACTTGTATTTGTCCTTACTAAATTACATTTCCAGCTCTTTTCTCCAGGGTAGCAGGAACCTTTCAAATTACGATCCTGTTGTGTGGTGTGTTTGCAGACCATCTTGTTCATGCCGTCTGTAGCTGTAATAAGAGCACTCTATTCCATCCTTCAAGTCATTGCGGAGGATATTGGATAATACCTGCCAAAGACAGACCCCTGTGCAAAGCCACTCAACATACATCCCACGGTTTTGGCATTGAACTGCTGTTAGCTGTTCTCTGGGTGCCATTTTTTAATTATACGTCCCAAGATTGTTGATGGAAGTGCCAGAATATTGTGCAAAGCAGTATTAAAAGACTTGCTACAACGTATATGACATATATCATATGACATACACAACATAAATGACATTTATTGCCTGAGCAATCTTCCACATTTGTAAATGCAGAGGGGGGTTGTAAAGACATCAGTTCTACAATCTACTGCATCATCTAGTGACTGAAAAATGAGATTTCGCTTCATTAGGAAATTCCTGGAACGTTTCCACAGCAAGTTTGCTAGAAAGAATAATATTGGCTCCTCTGAAACAATGTTCTTCGTTATCACAGTATTTGCATTAATTCCGAGCGCTTGTGTAAGTGCACAAGCTTATCATCCGTTGTGGCAGCACGCGAGATTTAAAAAAAAAATTGCACGTTTGAAGTCTGGTTTATGGTTTATGTTCTAGCCAAAAGTGCCATTCCAAGACAGAAGAATGTTTTCAGGAGTATAGGTGATTATGTCCTCCCGTGTTACGTGGTAATCTACAGAATATTAAAGAATTTTCTAAGGGCTTTTTAACAATCTTAAAACCTCTTAGAAGAAAGTTATTAGTCAGGCAGACAGCTCACTTCCATGTCTTTCTTTCGTAAGGATTTTGTAGCTAATTAAGTAAAATTGTTTGCATTAAAGTATTTTAATGGGAAGAAAGGACTTGCGTTTCTAACGAATTTGCCTGTAGTTTGATTAACTTAGAAGAATTTTTTTAAATTACTGTGTTATCCAGAGCAGATTCTTTTCAGGACTCTAGGACATTTTCATGAATGTTTATAATTAAATGATGGCTGAATTTACTGTATGGTCAGAAATGCAGTTGTTACTTTGCAAGGTTGAGTTCCTTTATGTTTGATGATTCGCAATATTTTATGTCTTACAACATTTTATGTCGTATGTTAAGCCGTCGTCATCTCCGCTCAGCTTGTCATGAGGTACAGACTTTATGGTCTCTAGGGGATGATGTCTTTGGTTAAGTTAATGCCATAAATGGAGGAAACTCTTGCTTTCCTGTCAGCTTTCATAAAACTTCATTGCCAGCTTTACAACCCCTGAGCATTATCAGCAAGGAATAGCTGTATTAATAATTAGCGTGTCCGTTGCTTCCCTAAAATATGTGTCAAAAGAAAATGAGTGTGAAAGCATGTAGAGTTTTGTGGGTTTAAGTGGCGTTAAACGTTACCATATTAAGCTAAAAAATACCAAGTTGTTCTACTGGCGTACTTAAAACATTTCAGTTAAAAAGCACAAATGCAATTTTTAGCCGTGTATTTATTTGGGGTTCATTATTGTTGGTATATTCCGTCTCCTCACTACAGTATTTTCTCGTGTGTTCTTCCTAGAATGGCTTTACTCCTTTATATATGGCAGCTCAAGAGAACCACATTGAGGTGGTGAAATATCTCCTGGAGAACGGAGCCAACCAAAGCACAGCTACTGAGGTGAGGTATATTGTTCTTTTTTTACACACGCTCTTATTTAACTTTGCCTTTATATTCAGATCGCTTAACGTCAGCAGGTTTCTCAGACGGAGTATTTTGAGAACTTTCACGCTTTCATTTCACCGAGTTGTATTTATGAATCTTACCCTTTTTTTCTACACGCGCAGAAGGCAAGGGTGAACTGTTCTGGAAGTGGTGAAAAGTCAAGGGACGAAATCCAGCCTGATTCAGCTGACAGCAAAACTTCCGCTGACTTCAGTGAGCCCAGGATTTTCTCCTTCAGTTTGTGCCCATTTCTCCTATCAGCTTCCTGGAGAATTTTCTGAAAAACGAACGAGGCTTTGAGGAGAGGTCCCTAGGGCTGTAGAAATTAGAGGAGGCCAAGGTGGTATTGGCAGGGGAATGGAGTGAATAGTAGAGCGATCGTAGGCTAAGCGGAGAGGTACAACATTTCATTTGAACAGATTTACGTCTCCGACAAAGCCCATGAAAACTCAAGCATCTAGGAGTGCCATCTTTGGGCGGGCATGGACGTCCATCTACGGATATGGACGAGCCACGTGAAGGAGTAATAGGAAAGTTCCTCTCCTGTCAGAGCTTTTGCTCATGTTTATTACTTTTCCCTAGTCTGTACAGAAACTTACCCATTCTGGATTGCCTTCACAAACGGATGCATTTGAAATGATGGTGCATTTACGCTCGCTCTCCTTCCCTTTAAACCGAACTGCTGGTGTTAACAGCTGCTCTACTGTCCCTTCTTTCAATGGATACTGTACCATTTGATGACAGCTCCTAAAATAATCCTCTCGTGGCCTGCATGTATGGCGATCACGTTACATGCCAGCTTTCTGAAATATGCAGTCCCGTGTGATTGCCAGGCAACGTGGCAGAAACACACTCTTCATGAAGGAGCCGAGTGGAACCGTGGCTTCCCCAGGAGCCCGGCCCGGCTACAGCCCGCGGTCACCCGCTTGCAGCCTTTCTCCCGGTAACTTTTACTGGCTGTGACGATCTGGTGCAATGGAAAGTCATTCATTAGTTTACAGGAGCTGTGAGGCCGAGATGGTTATAATTCACGTGGCCTCTGCTTGAATGCAGACGTCCAGGCATCACTGGAACTCACGGTATAGCCTGATTTATTTTAAAAAAGGCAAGGGGGGGGTGAGGAAAAAAACCACATCAAATGCCCCCCGCTCTGAACCCGAGTCCAAGTGTGTCTTCTGCCATCAGAAAGGTCAGTTCTCACTTTCGTAGCTTGGAAAGCAAAGGCTGTCTACCCCCTTACCGCTTAACTAGGTAAGTTTTGGTTTCAGGTCTTGGCTGTGGTGATGGCTTCGGTGATCCGAGTGTTACTGAAGGATGGCCTGAGCCACTGTCCGCTTTCATTCCAGAGTTAGTCTCATGAGGGGAATGAAGAAATGGTACATTAAATAAGGTGGGATGGCAGCCTGCACTGAGGATGCCACCGAAGCACATGGAGAAGGACCTTCTGTTTGGCATCAGAGATTGGCTGTCCGCACGTGGGGAGGTGGGGAAATGAAATGCTTTCTCCGAGCTCCGGTCAGCCATGCTTTCCAGAAGCAATAGGAGAGGGAATGCCGACAGAGTTGTGTCCTTTTAGAGAAGGATGGAAGATAAAGTGGTGCAAATCAAATGGATGATCTTGTCTTTGAAGCTTGGAAACTTGCACTGCCTTTGGATATATTTCGTTTCCTCTAACGCTTGTATACGTATATATACAAAATGAGAGTAAGGATGAGCTCAGTTTCACAGGGCCTCTAATCCAGGATTTGTTCTCATGTTCCCAGAGGCAAAAGGCAAATACATTAAGCCATTTCAACACCTAATGTAGCCCCAATCTCAGAATTATCTTTACAGTTCAGCTGTTTCGTCAGCTGTTCACCCTTTTTCAATTCACTGAACAGAATTTAATCTCTATTACAGAAAGAAACCATAGCAGTATCGCTGTTACAATGCACTTACCCACAGTTCTACGCAAAAGGGAGTGAATGTTATTAGATTACTAAGGGGAAAAATTGCTTTGGCAATTCTTCAGATGTTTCTTTCAGCATATGTTAGCTCTCATTCCTTCCTAACTTGTCCTTTATTATTTTATCATCTTTCCGTATTCCTATTCCAAATCAATTCCGTCTCGTTCCTATGCCTTTTACAAGGTATCTAAATCAGTTTTCTCGCTTTCTGGCTATAGTCAGCTCTTCGTCTAAGTCGGAAGGACCGACTACAGAAGACCTTGATTTATTCCCTTCCCTTTTCTTCCGTTGTTATTCACCGTGCCTCCGGTCACAGACTCGGTTAGAGAGCTGCTCTGTTCCTCGTGGTTCAGCTGCCCTCCGATCTGGCATGTGGTTACAGCACAGACGTGCTTGGGCAGCATGCAAGACTTGAGCTAGATACAGTTTTATCTAGTCAGAATAAAAGAGATGGGAGCAGGCAGTACTTCAGCTGAGACAGCAAGAAGTTGCGATGCCGTGACACGTTTTAAAGCATTGGCAATCCGGGGCGTGTGTGGAGGAGCAAGACAATTTGAAAATAATTCTAAAACAAAGCTAAAATTATGAATGAAAAGCAGAGAGATTTTTCTGACTTTGTTTTTCCAAAAAGTGCAAATAATCTAACGTTTTCCTGCTTCAAGTTAGAATAAATTCCTAAACGTGTTCTGGTTTTCTTCAGTCATAGTCCATGTGTAACTTAGAATGGGAAACAGCAGCAAATGCATCTGAAGATATGCTTTCTTTTCGCAGAGACGCGAGATACTCAGAAACGGGTTCCCTCTATATGTGTCACATCTACTTTGTTCAGCGCTCACTAATCCTTACCAAATAATTGCTAAAAATATGCTTTGTGGCCCATTTTAAGATGAGAAGTAATTAAGAGAGATACTGTAGAATGATCCTTTGCTTGTACTTGACTTAAAAAAAGACTGCTTTGAAGTGGAAAAAGTGTGCTTCCGACGTGTTTGAAGTCATATCTGGGTTAAAATGTTGTGCCTCCGATGTCATTTCACTGGAGACGGTGGTGCAGAGGTAGAAAACACCTGGTAACGTGCTTATCAGATTTCTGTGTGTGAACAGCGCTGTGCAAATCACCCAAGCTGTACGTCCTTCAGCTTACTGAGCGCATCTTGTCTTCTCCTCTACCAGGACGGTTTCACTCCCCTAGCTGTTGCACTGCAGCAAGGACACAACCAGGCGGTGGCCATCCTCCTGGAAAATGACACCAAGGGGAAAGTGAGATTACCGGCTCTGCACATCGCCGCTAGAAAAGACGACACCAAATCAGCGGCGCTCTTACTGCAGAACGACCATAATGCCGATGTGCAGTCCAAGGTAACATCATGCCGCCGCGGAGGTAACGGGGTAGTCAGGCGGCTGAGTGCCGATGGGCAACAAACTTCTACTCCCTTCGTCTTAACGGTTAAAGGTTTTTCTGGGGACAGACAAGTTGCTTGACCAGTATCACCAGTAATATATCTCCTTTCGCAGTGTTTAGCTACACGGTAATTACAAACTACTCATTTTTCTGCTTTTTAGTTATACCTCCCGTTTCTTTGGTAACCAGCTTTCTCTCGTTATTTGTAAACCAGAAGGCACTGGAGTGGAAGCAGAATCACTGCTTCCCTGTTAAATAGGATACTGGTTTATTGCCCGTGGGAACGTAGGTTGTATTTAAAGTTAATGCATGCTTGAATGGCTTTTCCCATAATTAACGGCATAACTCATTTCAAAAAGCAACATAGTTCTTCGTTTTGCGGCCAGTCTTTAATATTGTTCCTCTTTTTCCCAAACCATGCTGCATCAGATGATGGTGAATAGGACGACTGAGGTACCGAGATCAAAAATTTTTAATTACTCTTTCTGTTACTTATAATTATTTTCTCTGCTCTGTGGCAATATTTCTTTATTATTTAGCACTAAAATGGAAGATAAGACTCTTTTTTAATACACAGAAATTTGTGACTCAGCAAACCTATTTTTATTCATCCTTTGTCTTAGAATTTCTTTTTTTTTGTGTCACTATTGAAGTAACCTTTTGAGAATTCACATCAGTTCAAAGAAGTCTGAAGCGAGTGATGGAGCCAAGAGTATAAAGATGATTTTCTAGCTCAATTTCACTAATTATGAAAATGCACTCACTTGGCGTAACCAAATTAAGGTGTCTGGCTCAGCCAGAATAATGGTAAAATTCATTTTCCTTCTTTTACAATAATAAACATAATCAAATCCTCCAAGGTAAAAACTTGTTCAGAGCATCTGCTTATTTTTACCATTGTTCTCATTACAATCTTTTCAATAAAGTTTCGAAAAGTCCTTAAGGGGTAGCACATAATCAGAATTTACCTGCAGCAGATAATACTGCATTTCTCATACAGATCCTGGAAATACCAACTCTCCAAGCACTTCCACTAAAAATCGTGGGTCTGATTGGCTAGAGCTGTGGTTTCTCCCCTGAAGATTATTGTCACGTTTAGGAAAAAGAATTATTTCCGAGAATGCGGTCATTATTTGAATGCCGGCTTTTAAATAACGGAGTTTCTCTGTTAGATGGGGGGGGGGGGATTTTTCACTAATTATGAAAATGCACTCACTTGGCGTAACCAAATTAAGGTGTCTGGCTCAGCCAGAATAATGGTAAAATTCATTTTCCTTCTTTTACAATAATAAACATAATCAAATCCTCCAAGGTAAAAACTTGTTCAGAGCATCTGCTTATTTTTACCATTGTTCTCATTACGATCTTTTCAATAAAGTTTCGAAAAGTCCTTAAGGGGTAGCACATAATCAGAATTTACCTGCAGCAGATAATACTGCATTTCTCATACAGATCCTGGAAATACCAACTCTCCAAGCACTTCCACTAAAAATCGTGGGTCTGATTGGCTAGAGCTGTGGTTTCTCCCCTGAAGATTATTGTCACGTTTAGGAAAAAGAATTATTTCCGAGAATGCGGTCATTATTTGAATGCCGGCTTTTAAATAACGGAGTTTCTCTGTTAGATGGGGGGGGGTGAATTTTGAGCGGACGCACCCGTGTGAAAGCGCGTCACACCCGGTGTGCGCGCACGTGGGCAAGTTGCCCTGAGGCGGCCGGCGATGTGGATGGAAAGGGTGACAGCTTCTCTCTGGCAGCTGCCCACGGGCACGTCCTTCACCGTGGTAAACGTGAAGGGGCTTACCTCTCGTTTGTCACCCGGCAAACGTGTGTCCGCGAGAAGGTAGTTGTTAACGCAATATGCACTCAGTCTACAGCTTAACGCAGTGTCGTAGTTGTGCGCCTAATACCCTCAGCAGACATTTCCCTGGTCGTTTATCACGGCAAGACGACCGTGAATTTAATGAGTGTGTGACTGTACTTTCACCAGGATCACCTGTGGGCTGGCGAGGAAGTAAATGGAATTAGGGTAAAATAGTGGGCCGGCTGCTTTATCTTTTGGGAGTAAAGTTGATTTCAGAGTGCAACATCTGCCTACGTTTCAATATTCCATGAGTAGTCTAAAACGATGATTTGTACACTGAAAGAAATGAAACCTAGTCGAAAATACGGTGTAGTCTAGAAGCCAAAAGTATTCTCTCTTTCCATAACTAACTGTAAGGCCTGATCAAATCAGTGTAAAGCTCTTCAGGGAAACCTCAAAAGCAAGGTCCTTTCTACCTGAATTACTTGTGAGACTAAAAGCTTGCTCTGTGTCCTACTTTCCAAAGAATTAATCTTTTTTATGTTGTTGTCAAGCAGTTCTACATCTCGTAGCTGGAGCAGGTTTCACCTTCTAGTGTTCAAGAGGCAATAAGTAAATTGTGATTTTTCTGATGTATCGAAGTTTCTTCAGATCCTTTGAGATCCAAATTGTATATAAATATAAATAATTATGATTCTTGTACTATGCTACTAAGTAATTTCTCATGTACACCAAATTCGTGGGTTACGTATTGAATAACCACTGCTTTTTCAAAAAAAAAAAAAAAAGGAAAAAAAAAAGAAGGAAACGTAGAATCATAGAATAGTTTGGGTTGGAAGGGACCTCTAAAGATCATCTAGTCCAACCCCCCAAGTATTGAAACATGCTGTCAATATTTATTCTAAAAGCAGTAAAATAAGAGTCCAACAACTTTTGTGGTCATTCATCCAAAGCCAGTAAACAGATGCAGCCCAAAAGACCCATGTTGCTTCTGAATTGTAAGAAGGAAACTTCCTTTATTTTCTTTAAGAATGGCTAATATATTAATATTTTCTATGAGGAAAGCTGCTCTTCTTATTGGCCACTGATTCAGAACACGGAATTGGAGAGTGAAAGAACAAAGCACTTCCGATAACCTCTCATATGAAAACGGCACTCTCTGCCTGAAAGACTGTGCTGTATTATAGATGATCTGGATAAAATCGACACGATGCATTTGTTTGCCAGCAGCTTTTAAAATCAAGTTCTAGTTAAGTTGATTACCTTGTATAAAATGATTTCTATAATAAGGGCTGTTTCCCTTTGTAGAGTGGCTTTACACCTTTGCACATAGCCGCGCACTATGGAAATGTCAATGTGGCAACGCTTCTGCTAAACCGAGGAGCTGCAGTCGATTTCACAGCAAGGGTACGGAGGAATTTCTTTCTCTTCTTAGTTGCAACGGCCTGCGAAAGTGGGAGTCTGTCTAATTCTTAGTCAGGAGCAAGTGAGGAGCAAAGTAATGCTGAAATTCTGTTGTGTTCAAAGATGTCTTTTGTCGCGGTAATTCTTAAAGGTTGCCTCCGTGCAAGGCACCAGAGTCCTTGGGAGTTGAGCAGCGACCGGTATTCCCGGCTGAAGGAAGCAGGCTCCTTCGACTAGCTCCAGAAAGCTGATATTCTCATAATGTGTCACCTCACTTCAGCTTTCCTGTCAGTTAGACATACTCCAGAAATACATGTAGGATTTATTGGCTTTTTCAGTAGTCGGTATTTACTCTGCTACTTTAATTTGGTATTTTCACATACAAACGTACTTGGAAAAAATAAGGTAAGGTATATTGCCATTCTATAAATGCGACAATAAAAGTACTAGTTAATCATGACTACTCTTTTATGGTAAACAACTGCAGAGCTACATACTATAGTCTCTTTGCTGTTGTACGTTACGTAGTTTGAAGCACGGCATCTGGTGCCATGAAAACCGCTGGTAATCTGTACCTCAACGTAGCTACCGGATCACAAGTTTTCTGCTTAATTTTGCCGGACACGCTTTGAATTACTTTAGGGTTCTGCCTTTCAGACTGACTTCCTCCTGTTGCCAGTCTGGAGTAGCCGCTAATATTACCTCTTCCCTCACCCAAAGCGTTTCAGCCTAAACAGGACCTACTCCTTTACGCTATTGGCGTTACACTAAGAAGGTTCCTTTGTGTAGGAGTCGCGCATTTGTGTACTCTGTGTACGTTGCAGTGATTTAAATGCATCAGTGTTTTGTGAATATTGACTCATTGGGACTCTGATACGTGTTTGTTTATTTGTCCGGCTCTGGGACTGTGACGTTTGCTGCTTTGGCAGATGCGCTTCTTCGTTTATTAAAAAACCCCGAACAGTGAATAAAGATTCTTGCTTAGAAAGGAATTACTAACTCTAGCTTATACGGTGTGTGCCTAGCTCTGATGCTCAAGTACATTTCTGTTTATTCTCTACAATGTGATGGTCTCATTTTTTTTGTGATCCGAACACCATTTTACACCTTCAAATCCATCATGCTCATTGTTTGTTCTTTTCATGGTGTAGAATGGAATCACCCCACTGCATGTGGCTTCCAAAAGGGGAAACACAAACATGGTGAAGCTCTTGTTGGATCGCGGAGGGCAGATCGATGCCAAAACCAGGGTGAGTCTTTCTATTCCCCGAATATGATGTTGTCCCTTCTTGGGAATGGATTGGGATTTTTTGCTTGCTTGTTTTCGGTTTTGTTATTTTTTTTAAGCCGGAGACTGGGAACACCGAGATTCGTAGCTAGGAATTCAGCTTCAGTAATCGTGTCTTGTTCTCTGTTCCTAAAGTGAGACATTAGATGCGGCTGTTATAAATTACTCAAAAAAAAAAAAAAAAAAAAAAAAATCTGGACACAGCTCCAAAAATGTTAAACATTGCCTCCTCACAAGGGTACTCTTTTTGAAACTTGGACCAAATTGAAATTGTGACTCCAAGAATAATTTATAAAGAATTTTTTTTTAATTCAGAATCCTACCTTTAGTTTTCAGATTATTTGTTTTATGTAGACTGTTTTCTATGGTATCAGACTAAAGAATGGCAGGTATTGGTGATAGCAGGAGGCAGAAATACTATGTCCTTTAGTCTCCTGTATAATCTACCTACATCATAGGAGAAAAAGCTGATGAAACCGATCTTTTTGAGGAAATAAGCCTGTTAGTTGGTCCAGCTTCACGTTGACACAAGAACATGCGTGCTGCACAGCAATGGGAAGTGGAGGGTCTGGACTCAGCGAAGCCTTTCAGTCCCCTGACTCCTAAGTGTCGGTGCCAGTCACGGTACGCCTCACAAAAACTGCTGTAAGTGGGCTGGCGGTCGCTTTTTAGTGAAGAGTCATTGCTGGGACCAAGTAACCTACTCTGTGCCAGCAGCTGCTCGCCTCTTCCCCAGACTAACCTCAGAGAATGAGGTGACTCTCACTGGCTTCCTCCTCCCAGTTGTCCTGCTGAAATGCCGCACCAATACTGTGCTCTTTATTTGTGGGTGATTTTGCAGTCATTCAGGACAAAAGAAAACCCCATCAATTCACGTGGGCAGGGTTAATTCTTTCAAATGGGATTTTGGAGTCACCTAGGAAAACGTGGTCGTTTATGCGAGCTGAACTGCACAGGACTCATTCTTGAAAGCTGCTGGTTCTTGCACGCTGATCTGCAAAATTGTATCTCCAAGTAACAGAGGACGTTTTAGAACACAGAGTTGGGAGCTGGACGCAAGAGTTTGTGTTTAGTAAGGTAGGCAGGTAGAGGAAGGTAGAGGATATTGCAGCCAACTGCCCTTGTGGTTGATTCAACCTCTGCAGTTACTTTGATATTAATTACATCAACCATTTGTTGCTTCGTAAGCTAGGAAGACAATCGTGATTATCGTGTAACTCTGTACGTGATTATGATTTTGATTTCTGATTATTTATGAAATGATGTCTTTCTTGCTCTCCTTTTTTTTTTTTTAAACTACTGATGATGGAAAATGCTGCCTCTCATAAAGGTGTGCAGTAAATCATCCCCAGTCAAATTTTCCACAACAAGTGCCTAAAATCTCACGGTAAAGAGGCATGAAATGGTAATAATACGCTGCAGTCAGGATATTCCACATACTCATAAGCGCAGCAGTCACACAGAAATGGTCCGTTTGGCCTGTGGAATGACAGTATTGAATTCAGCTATTTCCTGTACAGTATTTAGATACTCGTTTTAGACAAGTTGGCCCAGATGATCGTAAAGGACGTCTTGGATTTTAAGAGGTCAAGGTGTGTTCCCTTCCCCGCTCACCCGCAAAGATTGATGTGCAGTTGTGAATGAAACTGAAAGAACAGGACTTTGCCCAACGTAGGTGGAAGGTGCTAATTTTAGACTCTTCTCATCGTCTTGGCTTCCTGCCCTTTGTCAGCTGCTACATTAGCTCAGAAGCTGTCAGCACAAAGATATCGGTGAAAACCCGTAAAGGTGTCCTAAAGCACACGTATCCCAGTTTGCACAGGCTCAGCAGCTTCCTTTTGCTCTCATCTTCTGCCTTCTCCCTGCTCAAAGGCACACGGTGGCGGTCGGCTGCCTGTACTTCACAGTGGGGAAGATTCCAGAGCTTTGGTTTTGCTGTCAGTCTCTCTGTGGCGTGGTCTTGTCTTCGTGCCAGCTGTTTATAGCATCTCGGTGTCTTTTTCTTTTCCCTTTGCTTTGTCCGCATGCCTTGTGTGCTTTGCGGTGGCCGTGAGTACGTAGGGTGTTGAAGAGGTAGGTTGTGCGTTGCATGCCGTGCATACGTGTGTTGGGTACTTTAAAGGACAGACTTCTGCCTCCTCCACCCCGGTACTAACGTGCTTGCCTTGCCATACTCGCCTTTTCGTTTCTTCTGAGGAACACCTGCGTTCTTCCAGCAGGTCAGATTCACTGAAAAACAGTGGAATTAAATGTACTAGGATATTTCATTGCCCGATATCTTGGGCTTTTCTTCTTGGTCTCCATACCGCATCCAAATAAGCTCTTGGGTTAAAAAAGGACTCATGGCTTTCATTCAGTTTTATTTTTAACTTGCTTTATTACATGACATCTGATGATGCATAAATTAAGGAGCAAAAACTTATTTTAACAGATTTCAGATGAGCCTCAGTACTTTAATTTTGCAGAGTTAATCTGTGAAATCTTTTTATGTTTGAAAATGTTCCACTGGAATGATCCATTAGGAGCCCCTGTATTGTCTAAAAAGAAAAAAATTAAAATGTACGTTCTTCAAAGGGAGTAAATTATGCATGTGTCCTACTGTTCCATAGTTAATGTTGCATGTCAGAGGAAAGCCCCGCTTCCTGCAGGAATTACATGTTTTTATTTTCTATACATTTCATAATGTACTTGCTGAAATTTTATGGAGTTTCTCACTAGAGTATAAAGATGTAGAAGTGCTAGTAAATCTGCTTGCTGCACTTAGGTATTTTAAAATAATATTTTACTTAAATTTTTTTGGCAAGTTTTAATGATTTTTCTCAACGAACTACTAAGTAAGTTTTTAAAACGTGGAATTTCACTTCTCTTTTAGATTGTATCTAAAGCAAAAATGTAAACTCCATTCCCAATGATATTAATAGGATACTTTGGTTAGTACTGTCTGTTATATCTACGTTTGTGCTACTTCTGTTTACATATGGGCCTCATCTGGAGTTCCGTTTGCTAAGTAATTAACGGGTAAAATTTCTTACGCTAAAACATTTCATATTTAAAATCTTAGTCAAACCTATATTCTCTACAGGTTTACCTGAATAAGAACTTCGATGACGTATGTTTGTTTAAAATTTTAAAATTTAGCTAAACTTCTGGCCTGTACAACTTCCGATGGTAGACCAGTGGAGCTGGGTTTCAGAAGCAATTGTGCAGACTGTGGCTAGCAATCAGCGTGCGGAAACTTGTTCTCTAAAAGGTGGCGGAAAGTTCAATTTAGGATTAAATCGATGTCATGTGGTCAAGAGTAACATGGCAATTATCAGTTCTCACTTTGAGAGAAGGAAAGCATTTGCAGCCTTCCTGAAACGTAGTAAGGATTATTACAGGGAGAATTATTTTAAGCATTTAAAAGCAGAGCAATTTCAGCACGCCCAAAATATATAGATTTCTATTAAAAAAAAAAAGTATTCTGATATAATGGAATAGTAACAGTAAGGATATGTGGGCTATTGAAATGCTACTGACTATTAAAGGGGTTTAGGAGTATTCTTTATGAATGCAGTTTTTGCAATATGCTATGTTTATCATCTCTATATAAATTGTATAGGAAAAAAAAGAACAAGAATGTGAGGCTTTATTTTAGTTTTTGTATGCTTTTTTACTTTTAAAATAGAGTGTTATTCACAGGCCTTTGTCACCTGACTGGTATTTCTATTTTTGTGGGACTGTGCAAACACCCTTAGAAGGTGGGGAGGAACACGTTCACCTGTCTCAGATGCTGAAGTTGTCACACATCTTGTGTTCTTCCTATTGAATCTTGCCAACATCGAAATTAATTTTTTCTTGCTCTGGGACTTTTCTTTAGACTCCTCTTGCAGGCTCTTGTCCAGAGTATTTACAGTTGAAAAAAATCCCTGGAATGAAACAGAGCCATCTAGTCTTGGAATGGAAAGCTTACCGTGTGGGAAAGTAAACATGTTGTGTGCCTGGAGCGGGGCAGCTGGAGCAGAGGAGGGGAGTAGACGTGATAATGGTGGGGAGAAAGTCTGGTATGCCATTTGGGTTGGAGAAGGGCCACAGGAAAGAAAGGAGGCTCAGCTGGAGGTGAAAGAAGTGGAAGGTCGGTCACAGAGATGGATGATACCAATGGGAAAAGAAAAGGAAGGAAGCTGGGAGGGTGGAACTTTGATTTTTTTTGTTTGGTTTGGTTTGGTTTGCGTTGGGTTTTTTGTGGTCAGTGTGCTTCAGACACCCCTTAACACTCGTTCTGGGAACCTACTGAGTTTTATTTGTAATAATGTCTCCTTTTGTATATGTGCATCCTGACGAAAGAGGCACGGCGCTCTGCTATTTCCACCTGGTAGTGGGTTTCCTACCTTGAAGCCATTGCAGCAGGATCCTAACCTTGTCTTGGCCCTGTGCTATGTTTACAGTGTCTTCTTCCTGCAGTGATGCTGCTGTGACGTTTTCTCCTAGTCTTCACGCGTGCACAGAGCGCTAATAATTCCGTGGCGGTTTTTGCCATTCCTAAAGCAATGTCAGATCAAAAACATCTAATCACAATGCAGATATTTGCTATAAAAAATGTAGTGGATTCATATAATGTTTACAAGGGAGCGGGAAGGGACATTGTACAGATTAGCTAAGCAAGCTATATAGATAGTGACTGTTATTTAGAATTATTTAAGTTAATACCTTATTACTCAAGCAAACGCATGGTATATTTTTTGCTGTATTTTTAAAATTTGTTCTTTGAATGGCAGACCCGGAGGAATACTTTAGAGCGTGTTTAATTATGCCAGGACTCTGAGAGCTTAGAGCGAGAGGGAGACTTGCCTTGTTCATTTTTAAAGGGATGAGGTTTAGCAGTAATGGCAAATGAACAAATGAAAAGGCCTTTATTTGCCGAGAAAATTTAGACAATTTTGCACGTCTAACATACAGAATACTAAAATTTTATTTCACCCTTATGAAACTGAGAATATGCAGCTGCAGTTTAGAAGAATTCTTTGATAGTTTGGCCTTTGATGCTCATGTGCCATCGTCAGTCTTCGTTCGAATGAGCACTGAATGTGCGCAACTGTCCTTCTGTTAAGATGCTGCCCATATCATTTCCCGTTAAGAATCTCTCGTAAGCACGGCTTCTTTTTCTCTCGGTCTCTCTGGTAAGCTGAAGTAAAGCATTTTAATCACTGTGAAATGACCCAATAATTTATCTTCCTGAGCCCTGCAGTTAGGAGTCATGCAGAGAATTCAGAATTAATTTTGCAGGTTAAAAAATGACCAGCGATGGATTTTCAAGAAAGAAAGGCGAAAGTTTATGTTCTATTTTGAGAGCCATTTAAGAGGAAATTAGGAGTGATGGAATTGCATGGCTTCCATAGGTACAGAGAGGATTGTAGTGTCATTTCTGACAGTGACCCAGCTGTTGGTTACATTGCAAAGCGTGAGCTAGGAGCGTGCCACATACGGGAACAACAGAACACCAGCTGCAGGATGTCACTTGGACGATGAAAACATTTGACTCTCCATTATGTACTGTTTGGGATGAGGAGATAAATACTGGACTTCTTAAAATAGAAAATTGCTGGCCTTCTTGTCTCCCGGCATGGCGGCCTTTGTGTTTATGGGATATCCATTATCTGTGCTCCAAAGTCTGTGTCTCTTCGACCCAGTGTTGTATGTCCTGTCAAATGGATATTTTGGTCAGCATGTCGTCTTCAATTCACGTGGTGTACCAATTAGCAGTGGAATGATTAAAAAAGTACGGAGGCAAACCCCTGCAATGGATTTCAGAGCACTGAGGTTCACTGCAAATAGACAATGGTGCAACAGAGGACTAATTTGGTACACCAGTGTGTCTCTTGATGTTGGCTAATGTCAGTTTGTCCTCATTGTATTGTGTACTAATTCTTCTACTACAACAGCTCTCCCTTTGCAGTTTCCCTCATCTTGGAAGAAAACGTGAGCAAAAATAGAATCTAAAGTATTAAAAATACAATCATTTTAAAATATACATGCTTTTTTCCCCAGGGCAGAAAGAGGGAAGAGAAGAGGGTTATATGGGAAGGCTGCAAAGCATATTGCTTCATTCACTTACTGGAAAGTGCACAGAGAGTAAATGATGAGGCACTTATCAAAGCCGTGGCAGGATAGAATAGGATAGGCAGCAAATTTTTATCTCTACTTTTAGAGGGAATTATAGATAAGAGCAGAGGAGAAATCGTGCTTTTTAATGATTTAGTTCTTATTTTTGTTTTAGGTAGACTTTCTTGTGGAGTTGATGGGTTGCTTAGCTTGTATTTTTCTTCTTTTTTCTCCCTCTGGAGATTTGTCCTGTTTTTTTCAAGGGTTCACACAATTCTACCTTTCTTTTGCTGTTCTATTGAATAGAATAACATCAAAGTCACTATGCAGATAGGGAAAGTGAACCTCCCACATTGATTAAAAATGTAGAGCACGAAAGGCCAGAAACTGGAAAGAACTACCAAATAAATACCTTTCCTAGAACTACGTTTAGGATATATTCTCACCTTAGTAACGCTAATGGGAATTATGTGTATGAATCCCTCTGGCAGCGAGATGAAAATATGCCTCAGTTGTGCATATGAAGACTTGATTTAGGGGACTCTGAAGTTTCAGCGCAGAAAAAAACCCCAGATAAGCTAGTTAAACCCAATTCCTTTACATTGACCCAATCTGCCAGGTGCTGAACAGCCTCGAATTCTGTTTGCGGGTTTGATCTTGCATCTGTTGAATTTCACTGCAAAGCTTCCATGGGATTTAGTGATGCCTCTGAGATCGTGAGTGTCAAGGCACACCTAACCCCTTCACGTGTTTCTGAAAGATCTCTGGAAACAGTAGATAAGTAAGGGAGAAAAAGTCCTCCCTGCAGACTTCAGTTCCTCACCGCAGTGGAGCTGCGTTGCACTGCTGACTGAGAAAGGTGCTCTGTGCTTTTGAAACTGAGGATGGGGGAAGGATCTACTTCTTGGAACTACCTTTTGTCGAGTATTACAGGGCTATGTTTGCACAGCCAAAATGATGTCGCGATTGCAACGGCACTGTGCAGTCTAGAGCTGCTTTTAATTTTAAAATGTTAGTAGTAGAAGTAAAAATATAGCGACGTAGGCTTCCTCCAAATTCCAGCAGGGCAAAGAGTGTATCTGCCTATGAAGCAGGGCCACTAACTCATACTTAAGGCCGTGTTTTTGCATTTTTGCGACTTTTTTAACCTCTAAGTAATAAATCTATCTCAGACCAGTATATTCATCTTTTAATCATGCTGTTACTGGATTCTTGAGAAAGCATCCTAGAATAATAGCATCTACCTCATCTAAGGTGAGCAGTGTGTCGCAAAGGGAGAAGGCTTTTCTTGTGATTAAAAACTATTACCATTTCGCCTTTATAAACCTATCTCTGTTGAACGAGTATTGATGACTTCGCCAAGCGCATGCTTGAGCAATATCGAGGTCTAATGAGATGAAAACTTGGGTTTCTGTATCTTACGCATTTTCTATTTTCTGTCATTCAGCACTAAAATTCTTTTGCAACCATTTTTCTTGCCTCGTATCTCCTGTATTTTTCTGCATAAAGTCCAAACGGTAGTAGAATTACCTAGAATGCATTCTCCTGTCTAAATGTTTCATTGACACGTCTTTTGCTACCACTGCTGTCATCATTACTGAGGAGCCTGAGCAAGTCTTTTGGCATAGGGTGGTGTTCTGCAACGGAAAAAATATTGCGGAGTTGGTGGTCTCACAGCAATTTTAGCAAAGAATTGGTAGCTCTTTGTTCACTGCTCGCTCTCAGAAATGAAAGGCTTTGTTCTGTTTCTTTCTTTCTTTCTCTTTTTCTCTGTTTTAAAATCTTCTTTCTCCAGCTGCCTGTTTAAAAAAAAAACAAATAAATTCTAGAGTAAATTTTCTAGTATGAACATTTCTTGTTTCATTCCCGCGTCAAAAGCAATCCAAAGAACAAGAGCTGATTAATGGAGCATCCTTGGCCCAGCACACATTATCCAGGGAGAGGCAATACAATCTCAAAGCCGTGCAGAGAAGAAGGAGGGGAGGAGGCAATGCATGCTCACATTATCCTCTTTGATAAGAGATTTCAACACGCAGTGGGCTTCCTCTCTGAAACGGTAACCTTAGGGTGTCCTTTACTGGTGCAAGGAAGAACAGGGATGAAGCTTCATGTTGTGGAGCCACCTTCAGTTAGGAGTCAAAAAAAAAAGGAGCTTTTTCACACGCTTGTGGGGCTGCATTCCTGGAAGGGTGTTCCTCAGAGTGCCAGGACGGACAGTGGGGACGTGCTCATTTGTTTTCCCTCCTTTGACTTTAAGGATGGACTCACCCCGCTCCACTGTGCTGCAAGAAGTGGACATGACCAAGTTGTGGAGCTGCTCCTGGAACGAGGTGCCCCACTGCTTGCACGGACCAAGGTGTGTGTCTTATTAGAATCTGTTAACAGCTCTATGTAACTTTCCACAGAATTTTCAATGTCACTGAAAGGACAAGGAAGAAGACAGGAACATTTCTGTTCTCCCAAAGGAAATGTATTAATAGGTAGAATGATCCAAAATAAGGTTTTCTTACATAATTAGGGACTATCCTTTCCAAATATATGAAACGGTATACACTTCTGTGCCTCTCTCTGTAATACCAGACTGAACACATGATAGGCAGTGCTACTGCAAGCACTTCACTTTTGTTGCTTCCTAAGACGGTAGGACACAGAGACGGGAAAGCTGGGTCAGTCACTCCTGAGAGACGATTCCTGGTATATATTTTCCGATCCCTCGTATAAGCTAACTAGGACCTGTGACTTGCAGTTTCTCCGAATTGTTTTCACGGACTATTTCAGACGTGGAAAATGATTTCAGTGTGTTCTTACTGATTTCTGAAAAGCGCCCATCGAAGATTAATGCATTTCGAACAAATGCTGTCCCGTTGGTCAAACTACTGAGAAAGATACTTGTAGTACAGTAGCAAACCCCTCTGAGCAGCACTTCACATCAGTAAATTTCAGAGCGCCTGACAAAGGTAGCTGGTATGATTAGTTGGAAAACAGTGGGATAGAGTATTGCAATGATATGCTTAAGGTCCCCTGGAAGATCAGGAGGGACGAACAATTTAAATACCAGTTTCAGACCATTGCACTGTTTACTGGGCCCCGCTCCCGCAAACATGGCTCAAAACGAGGGCAATTAGTGTATTCTGACCCATAGTTATCCTTGTTGGAGACTCAAGATTTTCTCTTGATAGTCTTCAGGAGGTTTTATCGCTGGGTTGCAAGCATATCAACTACATCAAATAAGGATGTGCTCAAGCTGTGCATCCTTGATAGCACCAAGTAGTCCAGGTCATCTGTTTATGCAGGAGGGATCCACAGGGAGATGGGAATTGGGGGGGGAAAGATTCCTTATAGTTTCCCCGATTCCTTTTGGTGGGAGAAGGTGGTTGGGTGAACCTCGTGTGTCAGCACCCTCACTTCACTAAGAGGTAGAAAGGCTCAGAAGAACAGACCCTGCCACATACACTGTGCACACTTCAGGCAGGATTCCCAGATGTTGCCGTTCCAAGGCAGATGTTGCCAGTCAGGACAAAATATCGGCGTTGCTGTGGCAGCATCTGGACCTCCCCACTGTGCTGAGGATTGAGCAGAGCAGAACTGTCCAGCGAATAATTCCCTCCTTCCAGGTGACAAATAAACAGTCAGTTTGATCGCACCAAGTCAGTTACCTGTTCAAGTCTATATGTTATAGTCTATCTTTAAACACGCAGTGCTTTTTCAGTACCTTATTGCATGTAAAATGAAATTAGATTAAAGAGCAACTTCCTCTTCTAACTTCCAACCGAAGCAGGTGGTTCCAAACTGGAGACAGACAAATACGTAAATATTAAAACTATTTTCTTCTGAAAACAACTTGTTATACATGTTAATAGCAACAATTCTCTCTCTGCTCTTAATTGTCTACCTTCCATGGACTTCAGTATTTACAAAAAGATCTATTAAAGCCAGACAGGGCTCTAAAACTCCTGCTTCCACTGCCCTTCAAGTGTTATGGTTTGAACAAAAGGTCCAACCACGGTGGTGGTTGAAAGTGTCATTTCCCAGAAGCTCGGGGGTCAGGTTTGCCAATATGATTTGTTTTTTCATTAAACACTTGAAGAAAAAAAGATAGGTTCCTTAATAAATACGCTGATGGGTAAGTAGGTGCTTTTCCTCTAACTAACATACAACCTATGTCTTAGTGCGTATCCCCGGAACTGTCTTTTAAGGTCAAGATATGTTTTATTAAATCATGAGGCAAAACCCTTAGATTCTTTTGCTTTAATAAATTCTGATTTTAGTTAATTATAAGATGTTCCTCTAAATTTGCCTATATTTGCTGGAAGGGGAGGGGTGGCTGTAGCTTTTTTCGTTTTTTCTTCCGGTCCGTAGCTCAGATGCGGCTCTCTTTCAGTGACGGGGGTACTCCGCAAACTCATGACGGCATCCTTCTAATACGTGCCACGATCTAAGTGAGGGTTACTGGGAGTAACTGTTCTGTTTCCTTTTGCCACAGAATGGCCTCTCTCCACTTCACATGGCGGCCCAGGGGGACCACGTGGAATGCGTCAAACACCTACTGCAGCACAAAGCCCCCGTGGATGATGTCACGCTGGATTACCTGACCGCCCTCCACGTGGCTGCGCACTGCGGCCACTATCGTGTCACCAAACTCCTTCTGGACAAGAGAGCAAATCCCAATGCTCGCGCCCTGGTAAACCTGTCCCACCCGTGTCGTGTAACAAAGCTATCCAGGGCAGATGAGTAGCTCTTACCACTAAAGCCAAGTGAAAATGTCAACAAACTCCACCAACCTTAAACAGTTGCAGTAACGACAGGGGTTGTCACGCCTGCGGGTTACCGGTATTGTATCTCCTATCAGTAGGCCTAGTCGTGGGCCACGTCCCGTGGCAAGTGGCTGTAGTATCAGGTCTGGAAGCTCTGCAGAGTTCCCGAAATCAGAGCCATTTCTAGCTGATGCTAACGTATGCACTGGTATTTTACTGAATTAATAGTTCAGTTTTCCATACGATGTGATACGATACACAATTTCTAAGCTTTCAACTGAATCAGTAAGTTAATTGGCATGGAGAAAGTATATTAAAAAGCTAATATTTCTGCATTTATCAAATTATGACGTTCCCCTCTATTAGGTGCCACTCCTCTTCCTTTTCAAAAAACAGTTCTTCTGATGCTTACAGGAAAACAGGTATGATTCCTTTCACTCGCTGGTCAGCCCATTATCCCCTAACTGAGAGAAAAACATCACATTTGGCCTCGGGAACATATAAAGCTTTCAAGAGTCTTTCATCTATCCAAACCCAGACGAGATTCCAATTTTCTCTAATAGGAAGCGTCCCCATGAACTGTTAGCTGGATGGAAGGTAAAATACCAACATATTATACTCAGCGGGGGAAAGAAAGAGACCGTGAACACTTGAGATGCTTCTGCATGGCCAGAAGTCTGCCATTGCCTGCTGCATTCAGTCCCTCCAGAGAACTTCCACCGCAGGCCACTGATGTCTTCCCCAGCTTCTTGCCTTTAATACGACCCCGAGTTTCTCCGTGAAGGCTCCCCCTATCCCTTACTTCCTTGGAACTGACTTTTTATTGACGCAGTTTTCTTCTGCCCTCTCATTTTTCTTGGCCTCTCTATACCCGCAAATCCCGTAACCCCTCTTGCTTCCCCTTCTTACGCTTTCCTTGTTTTGTCTTTCCCGGTATCATGTTCACTTGGTTGATCTTTTTTGATGCTGTTTTCATCCTTTCTTGTTTTTCTCGCCAGTCTTCTGATTGTACTTTGCTGTAGCTGTACTTTCCTCAGCTACCCACACATACACATTATATGCTAGCCCCCACATCTTCTTTCTTTCCTTCCATGACCAGAAATACACCTTCTGTTCCTGCCCTCCCTCCCTCCCAGAGAAGCATCTGAAATGAAAGGAGAACACCCTCAGGCCTCTGCCTCTCTGCTCTCTCCCCTCCAGACTGGTTTTTTTTCCCCCTCTCTTGTTTCCTCTCCCATCAGGGACTTGTCGCCTCTGGCTTGTTTATAGTATTTAAAACATTAAATGATGCTCGTAATTTCTGTTAGTGGCACGTTTTTTCTGCCTTCTCCTCTCCCCCATCAAACTGTTCCTCGCTTAAATAGAAGCAGCAAAATTAAATCAACTCAGGCAGTAAAATTAAGTGAAAATATGGAAACTTCTGAAACAGTAAAACTCCCTGTGAAATATATTGAGCGATGTTGAGCGGGAGGTAAAATCTCTAATGGTTTTGAGTCCTTCTTTAGAAATTGGAAAGGGCTAATAGTAGTAATAATATTCAGCAGAGTCCTGTGATGGAATACGTTTTAGAAATAACTCATTCAGAGTCCTGTGGAATACGTTTTAGAAATAACTCATTTTCTTCAAGATTTAAAAACAGCAATTGTTAATGTTTGCAAAACGATTTGGGGATACAAGCACTCTATGGGTTCTTAGCTTTTTCAATTTGTATATGCTTTAAAGCACCTTCAGATCAACTAGCAGAGTCCTGTGATGGAATACGTTTTAGAAATAACTCATTTTCAGCGAGATTTAAAAACAGCAATTGTTAATGTTTGCAAAACGATTTGGGGATACAAGCACTCTATGGGTTCTTAGCTTTTTCAATTTGTATATGCTTTAAAGCACCTTCAGATCAACTAGTAATTAACATTTCCCTTAACAGAAGCTGACTGTAGAATAATCTGTCACATGCCTCTTTCCATGAGCTAAGATTTCACTGATAAGTTCTGTTTACTGCTAGTTGATTGTTTAGCAATACTGATCCTTTCCATTAGAAAATAGAGCAATTTTTCAACATTATCTAAAAATGTTACCTGTGCTTTGCACTAAAATGTTCACCTACAGTGAATAATGTGTTTGCTTAGCTTTAGGCACACACTTAGCCTGCATTAACTATAATAGTACGTAAAAAAAGCTTGAAGTCGAAGCATGTATTACAGTATAGAGTATGAAGACATGCTTTGATTTGGGCCCCAATCTTACTGAATAAGCATTTCCTGAGAAAAGAATACGTGCTGATGGTAAGCACCACACTAAAACTCTTGTCTCACAGTACAAAATACTAGGTGGCAATCTCCATTTAAGACGTTCCCTTCCCCACCCGCCTTTCATTCCTGTCCCTGCCCCATTTAATTTTAATCCAGATGAGGGCCGATACCTTGCTTACAATGCTTTACGACTCAGCAGGGCAGGAATAAAGGAAGGGGGGGTGTGTGTGTGTGCAAATACTTCAAGAGTGAACACGTCGTATCGCGAAACCACGGCTGAAGTAGTGATTATTTACTTAAGACACCTCACAGAATGCGCACACAGACACGAATACAGCATACTGCAGATTGATGCATAAATATAAAAATAAATAGACATAGATGCTTAGATTACAAGAAATTCTAAAAAGACAAAACAAGGTGGAATCTGGAAGAAGAACTCTGTTCTTTTCCTAGAGAGGTACAGAATATGCTTTATACATTTCAAAAACACTAACTGATTTCAAAGTGATCGCTATCATTTCTTATATTTTCCTTGTGTTAGGCGATCTTGGGAACCACTTTAAGTCATCCTTACATATACATGTGTGCAACCTTCGGAACCACATGCAGACATGCGCGCACGCATACACGTGGAAGTCAGAACGGGCATGTCTGTATTTGGGTTTTGGAGGTGGAAGTTTGGTTTCTCGCCATTGCCTGAGAAGAAAGCAGCGGCGCTGCTTTGTTCTGCCTCAGACTGCTGGGAGATGTCCGTAATTCATAACCTGTTGTGCTTAAAGAAGAGTTGCTTCTGGTACTCTAACACTTGTGCTCCCAGCGTGCCAGCATGGAGCTGTGTGGAAGGTGTAGCTGCATGTTTTTAACTAACATGACTGTCTTTTGCACAGAATGGTTTTACTCCACTGCACATTGCCTGCAAGAAAAATCGCATCAAAGTCATGGAACTCCTGGTGAAATATGGGGCTTCAATCCAGGCTATAACAGAGGTAGAAAAATGTTTCATGTCGTGAAGAAACATTCCTTCTCTCTCTCCCTTTTTGCTTCCTTTTTTCTCTCTCCTGTCATGCCTCACTTTCACTTATGTTTCATTTAAATGAAGAAGCCCCTTCCCTACGCCCGTGCAGAGGAGTAAAACTGCTCTTGCTTTGTTTCGCAGTCGGGCCTCACACCAATACACGTGGCTGCATTTATGGGCCACTTGAACATAGTCCTCCTTCTGCTGCAGAACGGAGCCTCTCCCGATGTCACTAACATTGTGAGTATGGCTTTGACTAGAATCATCTGTGCAATACCTCCTCCGAGAAGGGTCTGGCCTACCATGTAGCTCAACCAAAGGTCACATTTTAACGATACTTTATGACTTTATTGCATTTTAGGACAAATTGTCCTAGCACCTTTAGTGAAGAGGGGAAAATGGTGATTGTATATGCATTATAAGCCATCCGTGGTTTCACATATTCTTCAGCAATGCTCGAGTAGGTAAGGTTTCCCTTAGAAACAGACGAAGCTCACCAAATACATCCAAAACTGATTATAAGCCAAGTCACGGGGAAGACTGTGTTTCCGTTCCGAAGGATGAAATTTAAGTCCAAGTGGCTCTAATTTCTGCTTGCATAGCTTCACTGGCTGCCGTGAAATTGTGTCATTTGTATCGGTGGAAGGGTATAAAATGCTTAAAACCTAACAATTAAACAAAAAGGAAAAATGTTAAACTCAAGGTGTTCCTCTTAGACGGGAAATTCCAGGAACGGGTGCCTTTCGAAAGAACATGCTTAAATGTAGAAAATGTGACCTTTGGGAGGTAACACAAAACGCAGAACCTGACTTACCATAGAAATCAGTGTTTGTATACCGATGGCCTAGTTACCAAGAAGAATAACAATAAAAAGAACACGATAGTTTTCTGAGCCGTATCGCACAAGGTATCTTACTGTTCAAATTTGTCAGTTTAAACAAATATTCAGCTTATGACCACCTGCACTTCGAAAGCAGCTTTTTTACCAGTAAATAATGTTATAGATAAGTGTTCCCAGCAACAAAACAACAACAAAAATTTAGTAATCCAGGTACGCTGGACTCATCGGGTTTTCTCAGTTAGAAAAACCTTATATGGACCCTAGTAAAAATGTTGAGCACACCGAGTTGTTTGCTTGAATCGTTAGAACAGACTTTTCTTGACAAAGTCTCTTACTGCTTTCATACTTTTTTATAGAAGCAATCTTTGTATAAAAACTTTATTGATGATACGAAAGCCAACAAGAAATTCTTGTGGAAGCAATTAAAAGTATTGTGTTACCGGACATTTGTGTGCAAAGTTTAACACTTCACAATTTATGCTACACAGGTGTCTTGGCTTTTACTTGGTAAGCTGAAGTTCTCTGTTGAATTACTAACTGTTTCCAACAGCTAAATTGCTTTGCTAATTCGAGTACAAAAGAGTATAGAAATTTGATCTTTAGAGTGTGTGAAATGTAAACCTTATTCACATTTTAAACAGCTCATTCTTCAGGTAATAATGTTTATATAGATGAAATTATCTATTCACATTTGTAGCTAGGGCTGTGGGATTTTGTTTGTTGCCTACTTGCTAATCACAGCTGGTAATACAATGTTAATTTTAAAAAGACAAGATAAATCAACTCCTGCTGAAGAGGGTTTGCTTTAATTAGAAGTTCATAATAGTAGGCAAGCTCAGGCTGCTTCTTTTCCTGCATCTAGATGAAGGACAAGAAGACCCGATTCTGATGCAAAAGATCTTGACCAGAGTGTTCATTTTGGCAATTGCAGTTTAACTTGATGGTCGTGGGGGTAGAAGCCTTACAACAGAACATACTCCAGCTCTAGCGTAAGGAGAAGGAACAATTAACACAAAGAAGGGATCAGTCCTGCTGTGTTGTCATACCATAACAGATAAATACAGAGCTCCTGGTTGCGGAACTGTCCCGATACCTAATGTACCAGATACCGATGAGCTGCACAGGGACTGTTTTAGTCCGCTTTAGGACAGTGCACTCAAAGAATGTTGGACAGTGCAAAATTAAGCTGGAAACGCCATCGTCAAGGAATACTCACTTTCAGTGTTCCTTTGCAAACCTATGCAAAAAGTAAATGCTTTCAATGTATCATCCGTACTTCAATATCCTGATCTGAAATTCCACATCACTCCAGTCAGCTTTCCAAAATTTCATATTCTCCTTCAAATTCTGTGGGCTACAAAACGCTTGAAACAAGATTCATTCCACAGCCTGCAGACAGAGTCACGCTGCTGAGCACAGATTTTACACATTTCGTATGCTGGCTCAGTTGTGCACAGCCATAGCAAGGCCTTTCAATGCTGCCAGCTCCGCACAGTGTGCAGGAAGAGACCATCTGGAAAAATATCCCCTTCCATCTTGAGGCTCATGTGCTTCGCAATCCCTTGAGAGAGACAGGCTCAATATACTTTTATCTCCTGTGCGGCACACAAGCTGATGCACTGTTACGTAGAAAGCTGAGGAACATATGTGACCAGGGGAGTCTATACGGCAGAATTTTCTGTAAGCCAGGATTTTCACTCTAACCCGCTGTAGCGAGATTACGTTTGTCTGGGATCACCGAGTTTGCAAACCAAAGCCTACCCAGGCCCAGCGACATGTGTGCACACACCCTTGTGAACTGCCTGTTACTGGGTCTGAAGCCAGAGTCTCAGCTGGCGGAAAGGCGGGTCTCTGCACGAGTTGACGCGGGTGGAATTTACACCGTCGGAGCTCTGTGTCTTCGTGGAGGTTTAGGACACTGAAACGCTTTTGCTTTTCTGCAGCGTGGAGAAACTGCGTTGCACATGGCGGCACGTGCTGGGCAGGTGGAAGTAGTTCGCTGCCTCCTGAGAAACGGGGCCCTGGTTGATGCCCGAGCCAGGGTAGGTGTTCTGCTTACAATTTTTTTTTTTTGCTTTCTCTTACTCAAAGACATAGCTGAAGCAGAGGAGCTAGGGAGGAGCGATTTCGTTTTTATTTGTTCTGTTGATTCAATATTAAGCACACCTGAAAACAGGTCTGAAAACAGTAACGTATTTACGGGTAGATCTTCCAAAGAGAATGTGTGTGGTGGGCTGACCCCAGCCGGCAGCTCAGCCCCGCTCGGTCGTTGGCTTACTGCCCCCGCAGCAGGATGGGGGAGAGAATTGGAAGGGCGAAAGCGAGAAAATCTCTTGGGTTGAGATAAAGACAGTTTAATAGGTGAAGGAGAAAGGGGGGAAAAAAACCCCAAGCACAAAACCAACCCCTTCCCCCCACAAGCGATGTGAATGCAGTCAGTCGCCGCCTCCCACAAGCAGACCGATACCCAGCCAGTCTCCGAGCAACGGCTCCTTTGGAAAAACTCACCCCCTAGTTTTATTGCTGAGCATGACGTTATATGGTATGGATTATCTCTTTGGTCAGTTCGGGCCAGCTGTCCTGGCTGTGTCCCCTCCCAACCTCTTGCCCACCCCCAGCCTATTCCCTGGGGGGCAGAGGGACAAACAGAGAAAGCCTTGGCACTGTGTAAGCACTGTTCAGCAATGGCTAAAACACTGGTGTGTTATCGACGCTGTCTTGGTCAGAAATCTAAAACAGAGCACCATATGGGCTGCTGTGATGAAAATTAACTCCGTCCTGGCTAAACCCAGTACGATGTGCCTGAGTCGGACCAGCAATAGCTATTCTTCTCTGAGCAAGGGGGTGCACAGCTGTGTCCTAAAACCAAACATCAGAGGTTCTGATAGCAGTTAGTGCCAGATTTTGAAACCAAGGGGACTGTTTGTAGAGCAAGGTACAGCTGTTGTAAAACGGATTAAGAACACAAAGGGGAGCAAGTGACGCTCACAGTGATGTGTGCTGCCTGCTTGATAAAAGGAAAAAAACAATGTTTTTCTTCATAGTTCTCTCTAACAAGACGTTGCTCAAGCTCATCGCAAAAATTACCCCACGAGCCCTCCGTTAGTGCCTTTTTTTGTACTATTACTTCCTATGATTTTTGCAAGACAAATGCATAGCTAGATCTATTGGGATCAACCAGCATATTGTGTTCAGGGTGGTTCTACCTGCGCTAATTATCTACTCGATTTGAGTTGTAGGAAGAACAGACTCCACTGCACATTGCTTCTCGCTTGGGCAAAACGGAGATCGTCCAACTTCTGCTACAGCACATGGCCCACCCCGATGCCGCAACAACTAATGGGTACACTCCACTGCACATCTCTGCCAGAGAGGGACAAGTTGATGTCGCATCGGTTCTCCTAGAGGCAGGTGCCTCGCACTCCATGTCCACCAAAGTAAGACAAAATGCTTTACGTCTGTAGCCCAGTAGCGCCTGTTCCACGAGGAATATCACACTGACAAACTGAACTTGTTCGGGTCTTTTGTTTTGTTCTTACTTAATCGACAGCGATCCAACAGACTGAAGTAACATATCGGAAGTTAATCAAATTTTGAGGTATTTTGCTGTCATCTAAAGCTGGGAGTTTGGTTCCCACTGGAGCCAAATGCAGATCATGATAAATACACGGTCCCAACAGGTTTAAAATATACACGGAGTCCTTGTTTCTCTCTTTCCCATTGTGTTATGGGTAGGGCTTTTTTGGCCAAAGTTTTCAAAAAAGAAAAGGGCATGATGACGACACTTTTTTTATGAGCAGGCCTGTTTATTCTTCAGTATCTTGTTTACTTAAATAGTAAAATAATTCTGGTCTGTGCTAGCTGAAAGGAACATTCCTAAAACATACAAGTCAGCATCTGTCCAGTCGCATCTAATGCTGAATCTATTTTCAGTGGTTCTATAAATGAGGTGTCATATGACACAATAGGCCATTTTGTCTGGGGTTATGAAAGAAATAGTCTGCAGAATCATTATTGTTTTGTTAGCCAAAAATGTTCACCAATAGATTCCTAACAGAGTGATGAACACGTAAGAAAATAGGTCGCTGTGAATGGAATTATGTGCCAAGATATCTTTTCCAAATTTATCACGTGTGATTAAGTGAGAATCACTTAATTCTCGTTTTTGTTTTAGGTCTTGAAAAAGTAGCCCTGATTTTACAGCTGGAGCTTAAAACATATTTTTGAACAAGGGTGTCTTCCAGGTTTTAGAAGACTAAACCAGCAATTTTCAAATTATGATCCACGGATTACTGGGAATGCTTGCTGTTCTCCTTTTATCCAGCTGTTAAATCACATTAGAATGGCTAAAAATACACTAAACACTTTCCTAATTTCCCATATTGCTTTATGACAATGGCTTCAGTACTGCAGGAACAGTCTATAATTATGAATAGGAGAAGATGTAGTCCACTAGATAATCTCTCTACAAACCTGTGATTTGTGAACTGGAAATGTTTGAGATTCCCCGACGTAAACTCTTTTTCGAGGTGGGATTAATGGAACAAGATGATAATGATACTAAACATTACACATCACTTACGTGTCAGGCAAATAGGTCATTGTAGCTCCCTGGAATTACTGTCAGGGCAGCGGTGCAGTCTGCCACCTACTGTCTGGCATCCATGAGTTTTCCTTATCAACACGATTTTTTTAAATTAAAAGAACAGGCAAAGAGCATGCTAGTTTGACATAGACCTTACGCCTGTGCTGTACTGACAAGCATTATTAAAACAAATAGAAAAGGACTGTCTTTAAAAGACAAGATTTTTAGTCTTGCCACAATGTGTTTCCAAAAGCACTGCCATTGAGTCAGGCGTGACTTTTTTTAGCTGCAGTTCCGAGGCTGCGGCGGAACTTAGTGACTGTATGGATACATGAGTCCAAATACAAATAGTTCTTCAACAAACTCTCTAAAGGAGGAATATGAAGTTTGGAGCTTTTCTCACTGAATTTAGTTGGTGTTTAATTGTTACTGGCAACAATTGGTACAGGAAGTATTTCTAAAGCTGCCATCATGCAAGTAGAAAGTGCAGCTGGTTTGGAGTAGAAATCTGAACAAGTGCCTTCATTGCCCACACGCAGAGTCTGTGTTGCTAGCAGAGTCTGTATCAGATAAAATGTCTGCCAGCCTGACAGCACGTACGTAGGGAAGAATAATAAAAGGGAAAGTATTTTCTTGTATTTCATGCTTCTCAAAGTGCTTTCAAGAGATGATGCTCTTTGTAGGTATGGCTATTGATTCTGCCAGCTAGAATATAGGTTGAAGGATAAGCGCTTGATACACACTTCTTAAAAGAGAGATGTCAGCATGACCTTTAACGCAAACATCTGCTTTTTATCTCCTGGAATTTTTCAGAAGGGATTCACACCTTTGCATGTGGCGGCCAAATATGGGAGCCTGGAAGTGGCAAAACTCCTGCTGCAGCGTCGTGCCTCTCCCGATTCAGCTGGCAAGGTACTGACGAGAAAGAAAGAAAAAAAAAAGTCAGCGGCGTTTTGGAGTCTTCCCTAGGAAAGAAGTGTGTGAAACGTGCACGCGAAAGAAGGCTGCGGCCGCTTTCACACGGTGGCTTTGGCTTTGTTAGGGTCGCGTCCCCCCAAGGGGGACGGTTACGTGCGCTAGTTGTGGAAAGCGAGCGTGTCGGGTTTGGGTCGCCGGCAGGAGGGTGCCGGCTCTGGGGACGGACGCCTTTCTGTGGCT